TGTGTGTATTACATGCATGTAGATATAGATAATTTTTTTTTGTGTTTAGGAGATATGTATGCATATATTTCGCGCTCGATTAGCGCCGGCATGCTCCTGCTAATTATTTTGATTTAATTACTAACAGTAGTAGACGAGCGGTGGTCGCTGCCCACCTAAGCGTGTTTGCATGCGAAATGATGCCGGCAGGCGTGTCTGGCTCATGCTTGGGCATTAATTAAATTAAACTATATTGATTTATAGTCAATTAATCTGCTAAATATTCATTAGACACATGTGATTTTTTTCTGTTTGTTATCATTAACATTAATTTGTTATTTGTAACATACATAACCTTAAATTTTTAATTTTAAAATTTTTAAAATTAATTTTTTGAAAATTGAGAATAAATTCAATCAAGTTTGGTTTTATTGTTTTAAGACGATATAAAAATAATTATTATTTTTGATCACGATCCGTGCTCACTTTTCGGCATATATTACAGACACAATGGTACTCGTCGGCGGCGACGCACAATGTGTTACATAAATTTCTCTCGTTTGTTATATTGTCTCATGACTCGCGCGTGCGTTTCGTTGATAAAACGGCCAAAACTTAATCCACCCACAAGTCACACACCTACATCTTCACGCGGTGCATCTTATGAAGGTACTTATTGTTTAATAATCAAGGTGAATAAAAATCGTTATTTAACATAAAATAATTAAATTTCAAAGAAAAAACATGAATAATGTTTTTTTTGTTAAGTTTAATAAGAAAAATAACAAAAATAAAATAAAAAAGTGTTTAAAAAATTTTAGCCACCCCGTGGCTAAAACCAGTGACTAAAGTACTTTAGTCACGGCCGTGTATAAAGTACATTTTATGTAATTTTGTGTTTTATATCAAATAAAAAACAAAAACTAAAGTTTTTCACTGATAAATTCATGAAACTTTAATTTTTTTCTTCTCTGTGCTTTATTTTCGTTCCAATTTGTAATATTTCAAATAGAAATCCATTGATTAATGGTAAAGTCGTGACCTGAGTTGCACACAAGTGTTGCATTCATTAACAATGTTTGCATTCGCTTTTCGCGGCAACTTTTACGTTTCACGCCTAAATAAATAAATCTAATAATTATGTTATGACGTTATGGTAATATTGAGACACGTTCGACTCTCCAGAGACCGTTAGCCATATATAATGAACATTATCAACAGCATGGCCGGCCTAGGTCGACCATGAGACTACTCTCGAAGATGCGCGTGAAATATGTGAAGTATGCAACCGAACAAATTAGAAAAAGAAGAAGAAAAAAACGCAATGCCAACGCAGAAGAATCCAGTGAAATATTAAATTACATCGAGTGTAATGACGCATCAAGGACGCATCGAGATGTACATGATTCTATAATATCATATACATCTAATGATTTATTATCCGTTTGTAATCGCAGAGCTAACATTGAAGCGATGAAGTTTTGAAAGTGTCTACGGTTAATTATCGTGATATTCAGTAAACATTTTCTTTGGCAGGCGGAAATAGTCGTCGGCCATGTGCGCAAACATTATCAATTTCTTCTGTGCGATGCGCATGGAAATCGTTTGCTGATTTCATTTCGTTGCTATGCAAATTGGACTTTACACAATTCAACGAAGAAAAATCCGTTGTGCATTTTCACTTACCCAATTTGCATCCAGTAGTAAACACTTGGCGTGTGCAAATGTTTATTATACGTACTTACGATTATTTGAATTTGTGTATATTGTACACAAAGTAGCCATGTGTTAATGTCATTGGATTTTCCACATTCTTATTTAATTTTAATCATCACAAAATAAAAAAATAAAAAAATTTATTTTTTCGTGTTTAATTTTCAACTAAATGTTACTTATAGTTACTTTCTATATTATTTCATTCCCTATAAGCATATCTAAAGTTTATATAAGTTGTACGCCGGTTTTGTGCGTTTTATTTATTAGTCGCAACACCTTGCGCTGCACTCGCGGCTACTGATATTTGATACGTGCGCAGCCAACATGAAATTATGTTAAGTTGCATTAAGTTAGCATGAGTTACATAACCGTGTTTGTTTACTACCGCAGCGCGCATTTTATCACACTGAACTTCCGAATCGTGTACGAAGACGCACGGCGACGAGATAAATAGCTTACACTGTTCTCTAGTCAAGTAAATAAAAAAGCAAGCAAAGAAAAAAATCTATTCAATATCCAGTAGTGACTATAAAACTTTTTACTACAAGCGCTCGAGATGTACCGACGATAAAATCAGACAGACAGACAGTGTATGAATGAAATAAAAGTAAAACGTTGAAAAGTTTTCTTTTGGAAAACTTCGAATCACTTAATTGAAAAGTTTGCTGTTTTATCCAAAGGCGAAAAAACTTAATTTACGAGAGAGTTTCATTTAAACATTTGTTTTGCAATGAGCGACCATCATCATTACAATAATTATAATGATTGTTATGCTTGAGCACACATTATGGTCGTGCAACACCCTCGCATCTCGACGCGGCGGGTTTTCACTGCGACGAAGGGCAACGCGTGCATGCGCACGTTTAAAAAAATATTTATGCGGCATAAATTATGTTCTCGCGAGTAACAAAAGCTTCATTTTCGTGCAGTTATAAATATTTCGCATGTCGATGGCGAAGTCATGACCTTCGCGAAATTTTCACACAACTTTTGTTTCAAGCTGAATTTCGTTTCAATTTATATACAGGGCATGAATATCTGAATAAATTACTCACATGGAAATGACTTAAGTAGTCCTTCTAGGTAGGAGTACGTAAGAGTATAATTTATGGTGACAATTTGAATTAATTTGTACGTACACTAAGCCGCTGCTCATATGCCAATATTTATTTATTTAATCTCGCTGCATCGCGATGCGTCCGGTCGAGCGGTGGACTAATGGGCAAATAAATAATAACTTGATATGATTGTGTCTTCCCGATGCTTGGCCAATAACTTATCTATTACATCGGATTAAAAACTTGTGCAGTGCACAGCAGAAGCTTAAGCTGGTCTTAACCAAAACACACTCGATTTATATTACTTTTCGATCATAATTGAATATGGAAATTTTATTAATCAAAAAATTAAGGATTTTTAAAGGTAAATTTTATTTTTTTACATTTTAAGACATTTTTATATGTTTAGAGACTTGTAAATGCAGAAAATGAAGACCAGGGATAAAAATTATTTTTATTTCGCGATTTTAGACTGTTTAAAGTAAAATTTAAATGTTTTCTAGAAATTTAGACAAAAATATTACTTTTATTCACTTTAAACCACAAGAATAAAGCTTTTTCTTCCAATTAAATCTAAAAATGAAAAAAATAAAATTTTATGAAATCAGTTAATACAAAAACTTTTCCAATTTGATTTCTTTCCTCCTGAAAATATTGACATTCTTTGACTGCTTGAAACTCCATAACCCAGCGAGGCAGACTCAAAGTTCTGAGTTCTAATTGATAGTTTGAAATGGAGCTGAGGTTAACCGAGGCGAGATTAACCGACTTGAGTTACACCTCAGCGGGTCGTACGAACTCAACTTTATTGACACTTTCGGTCTTATGACACACTCTGCGGTGTCGACTGTCGCGGTCGCTTCATAACTCACAGCCAACTTTCAATTGCTTAGGAACTCAGGTGAACAAAGTAACTTTAATTTGATATGTTATGGAATAAAATCAACGCCAAATGCCTGTTGTACCTATAAATACCTGTTTCTGCGTTGTTGAATCCTTGAATCCTTCGACCTAGAAGACTAACCGTACGCGACCGATAATTCACGCGGTAAATCGTCCGTTCCTAGCAATTTACTGAATCTCCACATGGAAGCAACTTTTCGCTTTTTGGAAGAACAGTCGTTAATGCGAGTTTAACAACGTCGCCTGAAACTCCAAGCATATAAAAAGCAACATTTCGTTTTAAATTTGTGTCCAGAAACGTACAAAAACATAGAAATAGCAATAAAATTCACAAAATTTTTACTTCTAAGAAAAGAAGACAGTTTAACCTGTTTTAAGGGATGTGCTAACGCAGGTACCAGAAGTAATTAATAGAATCTCAAACGATTTCGACAAACAAAACGCCTTGGAGACCTGTGGCGCATCTTAAGGGCGCCTGCTTATCACCGCCAGACCATAGATACACTAATTAAGTACTAAAATGGAACTTAAACGTGAGAGTAGGCACCGAAAAGGACAAAAAGGCACATTAATTTAATCGTCGAGATGAATCGCCCGATTGTTTCGACTGTAATAAGCAGCGGAAGGCAGCAGATCAACCAGATACCAAAAGAGAAGCGAATAAAACAAGGGCTACTGCTGGTGGTTGACCAGTAAGCGCAACTTTAACACCGCTTATTTATAAGGGCTGGTATGTGCTTATCAAGATACCAATTTGACTCCGCTGAAAATAAAGAGGCGCCTCGGTAATTCTTATCGAGATCGTCCATGTGCAACTACGGAAATAAAAAAAGTTTAAAATAAAAAAATAAAAACTAGAAATACGTGCGAATTAAATGTGTACACGCACACGCAACAAGCGATGGATACGTACTGCTCGCACGGAATGCCTTTGTGAATGATCGCCTCCGACGGCGAGCTTTCCAAGAACTTTCCTCAAAAGAAGCTTACAAACGAGCTGAGCAAACAACACCAACGACTATTGTTTCAGCGCTCGATACGCAGAGCTCAATAACTAAAACATATCTCGGCTTGGCAGACTTGGAGTTGGTAAACTAGTCGAAGTATACACTGCGTGCAGTGATGTGTCAGTAAATGTAGGCAACCAAGAATACACGCTGTGTGTTTTCATAGAGGTTAAAGTTAAAACATTCTGTAGACAAAATGACAAAATAGGGACATGAAAACGCATGAAAGGACACGAAGGGATAGCTTTGCCCCAACAATAATTAATGATTTCCAAGGATTCGTTACTTGTACTTGTAGTAGCGAAGGCGTGTGAGAACCGCATTGCTACACAGCTAGTTTTTATACTGCATTACATTCATACCAATTTATTTAAATTTATAAATTTAATTGGTAAGTTTATTAATGTCTTGAAAATCGAGGTCTTTGAGGACTATTACGTCTCCGATCTGAATTATATCTACTTTTAGAACGGGAATTATAACTTCTTCCTTGATTCCGGTCCTGATAATAACTTTCTTGTGCTGGTCTTGAATATGGATGGGCATTATATCTTCCTGCTTGTTTATAACTTCGTGAATAACTTTGATGATCAGGATAATAATGATCTGCTTCTCGCCAATTCGCAACTGATTCTCTTGTATATGATGATCTTGATGGTCTTTCATTGTACTCTATAGAATCATAACTTGAGGTAGGTTTAGATTTAGGTTGATATCTTCTTGTATCACTTCCTGTTTCCACACAGGAAATCTCCCGTAAGTTGGTAGTGTACTGATCTCGTTCAATTGCATGTCCTCGTGATGATTCAAACACTATTAGGAAACAAAATAAAATCTAGAGTTTAAATTTATTCGAAATGGCGCAACTTTTAACTTTTGAGTGTTTTAATGAGTAACTAGTGACTAAACATCTAACGATGTGATGCATCATTAGAGAAGTGTGGATTTTCATTACCATTACAGTTATGACGCCCACATTTAAATACTTACATTCAATCGCTGCATCAGGAGCCATGTTCATCTTGTGTATGAGATATTTGCAGATGAAGTAACCAGTTCGATTCAATCCATGCGTACAATGCACACCAATGAGATCTGAAAACAAATTAAACAATCATTCACCAGTTGTTTCAGCGCTACGGAGAACTCAAGAACTAAAACATTAAGGTTGGTAGACCTGGTAAACTTTCGGAGTAAACACAGCGTGCAGTGGTATACCAATAGATGTAGGCAACCAACAATACACTTCTTTGTTCATACAAGTGAGCGGTTATTGTAGACAAAATATTGACAGTGACCAGTTCAGTTCAATCCGTGTGCACAATTTAAGCCTTCAATCCACCATCAATGTCCTTGCAGTAGATGTTAAAGGTAAGTAGATGAAGTTAATTTTGCCCAGTGTTCATGTAGCGTACCTTAACGCACGCAAGAATAAATTAGCAGAGAGTAAGATCAAAAAGGCCGTGCGTCCGCGCCGGCGACCGCAATGCGTGCACCGATATACATATTCTCGTCGAGAGAGTCTGCGGTTACCGAAACGCGCGCCTCCTTTGGTCGGTAACATGGTAATGAGCAGATAATATCGTCCAATATCGATATACCAATATTCAACACGGCATGTACGCGTTTGTAAGCGATACGCCTCAGTTGTGTCGAAACGCTCAGCGCGCTGAAAATTAGATGCACTAATTTCCGGCGCGGCGTTAAAGATAAAGATAAACATATCCAGGGCAAGGTACTAAAATATGTCGGAGGCGATTCAAATTTAGTACAATTTGTTGATGGATCTAATTAACAAAGATTAACAAGTGGCGCATGCGTACAGCTGCAGCTATTCAAACGCTAGTGAAATCAGTTATATATCAGTTACAGATGCGCATATATATGATCTTAAATATTTAATATTTAATTGATGTCGAGTAGGACTACGAATGTCAGGATCGTGCTCAGCCATCGCGCGCGACACTTGGCACTTTCAAAACACACAAAACTACGCTGTTTAATGTTTGATGTTTGATTTGCGCGCACACACACATAACATAAATTAATTTCGATGCCTTTTGGTTTGCACTTTCGCAGAACGTCCAATGCACAATACCCACAGCTGATAAAAAGTGCGTGTGCATGACGCCTTTTATCACAAATCGCTCGCGAAACGTGCGCCTGGTTACATCAAACACCTGTGTGCTTTGATGAAATGCAAACGATGAAAGTTCCCTGCGGGAAGAGAATATTTCGTGACATGCGACGTTATCATCGCGCAAGAGTTTATTATTGCGACACATTCGCCTCGGTAAACATGTTATCAGCGCGAGTTTACTTAGGAATTAATTATTACAGTAAGTGAGATAATGTGCACTTAGATTCTCCCAGCAGGTAAAGGTAAAGAGAGGCAAATAGTGAATCAGAAATTTTTACATTTATAATACTGGATTAAAACGTCTTGGCGTAGTAGTGACCCCGTCGTCTTATTATTTTCGAGTGCGACATCATGATGCATCGACGACGAGTCGGCAACTCGAAGCGGTGAGAAACGTGGCGAGACGACTCTATACTCGTGCGAGCGCGCGCGCACCAGACTACTCCTCGATAAGACTCTTAGATAATTAGAGAGTGGAAGAGATATAAGTAAGTGTCCGGTCGCGGTGCCGCGAGTCCCAGTCCGCCCACGTGAAATTCTCCAACCGGAGGAGAAAAAATAATAACGCGCGCGTTGCAACCAAGAAAAACTTTTCAAGACTTCTTAAAAACAAATAATTTGCCGCAAATTGTATGATATTATGCAACGGAATCAAGTGGAAAATCTCTTGATTTGTTTCCATACAAGTTTTAATCAAATGGTATCGTCTTACAAGTCAATATATCCAATTGAATTCGATGATAACGTCACAGATAACTAAATAAAAATAAAAATATGCATCTCTTCTCCTGTTATTTGATATTACTGTCGCAATAGATTTTTTTGACTCACCTTCGTTGTGTCCTTCGCCTTGGCGCAGGAAGTCATCCACAATGTTGTAGAATCTAAACCCAAAAAACAAAAAATTTTAAATTTAGAAAAAAAAAGTTTGTGTGTGAGTTGCGTTCCCACCAACCGGTAGATTGTAAGCAAGAGTTAGCAGACTACCAGCAAACACAAGTAAATAAATAAAAGGGTTTTTAGTTTGTGGTCTAACGGTGTACCTAAAGCCCTTTCTGCCTCTGACTGCGCGCCAGTACTAACTCATCCTCGCGCAGCATCGAGAAACCTGCGGGTGGTTGAAAGTGGCTCAAAGCAAACATCTCCGCGCGGTGTTTACCGAAAAATATTTTTCGAAGAATAATTGCCCACCGATGGGCTCCTTGAGATCTCGTCAATGAGCTGGCTGCAGGTTGGAAGCGTTTCATTTTCGTTTAGTTTTAGTATTTTCGGAATGTTTCATTAATTTCAAATGGCTGCGCGACCAGTTGACATAGTATTAAGTCAACTTTGCTTACAACTTAAGGCGACACATATTTAAGCTGCACAAAAGCGTAAACCCGAAAACCCATAAAAAGTCCATTAAAAGCCACTCTCCTACTTCTGTGTGCATGTGTAGTGTGTGCGTTCTCAAAGTACGCATTGATTTCGAGCGGTTTCGAGCTATTTTCGGCGCCCATCAAATAAATAATAAATTATTAAACATCCAATCGAGTTATTAGCGGCGTTCTGCCCTCGATCAAATCGTGAACGAAGCCGTGGGCCGGCCCGAAATCTAACCCCAGAGTGAAGTGAGCGTGAAATGCGTTTTATCACCAAGCGGCGCGCTTTGATTTCACACCTTTATCGATGTGGATCTCGACACGAAATTGAGTCTTTACACCCCACATCTTCAAAAAAGCCCTCGAGGAGTGATTGAAATTTTTGATCGATTAATCCATACCCTCTAATTTTATTAAATTTGCTCGAAACATTTCAACTTTCAACTATTGCATTTGATTCGAATTTAAATAAGTTAATCACTTCATTAAGTCGACGCTGACCTACTCCGAAAGGGTCTAAATGACTTAAGTCATTCGATACCATCGTATAACGGCGCTTAGAACGTTTTAATTCATTCATTAAACAATTTCTAATCACATGTGAGCGCCTCACAGAGAGCAGGTAATGAATTATGTAAAAAATGGGATTAAAAATAATAAAATCAAGCATTCGACTCATTAATCAATTGAAATCGAAACATTTTCAACTAGGAATTAAATTTAAACGAAGTTAAAGACAATTTTCAAGTTAATAATGAAGAAGATGAGGGTCGCATGCTCATAATAAGGGTTGCTATAAATTAATCAACGCTGCTGGAAGTAATTAGTAGTCTAGAAGCCCTGGACGCTTAATTAATACCCATGCACGCGTTAATAATTTTATTATTGCACTAAATAACATTGCGCTGTCTTCGGCAGCTTAAATAATGAGAGTGGCAACGCTTTTAAGCGCGTTTAAAACCATTTATAACAAAGAATGACGCAACGCCACACGAAAACCCAAGTCTACTAGTCGCACGAGAGAAAAAAAAAGAAAAAGAAGAAGAAGATAATGCGAGATGTAAAGTTGTGAAGATGTTTAAAATACAAACGACTCCAACGACAATAAATAGACGGCGCGCGAAGGATGAATAGGAAGAGGCGCCTCAAGTCCTCGAGAGTGGTCCTCGAGGGTGGGCCACGAACACGAATTCTCAAAAGTCGTGCGACAAAAAAATCATCGAACAAACACGAGAGGAGAAATGCGTGGCAACCATTCACAAACTACTCAACTACCTTTTTTTCTGTTATTTTTCTTTTTAAAAAACAATTCAAACCTAAACTAAACGTTTGATTGTTTATTAACTACGAGGTTATGTGGAACAAATATAAATACAAAGGTATAAAAGTCGTGCGAGGGATACGGGAGTAAATTGAATTGAAAGTGCTTTCCGAACGCCTCTACGAAAGCCAACATACATTATGTAAATCCGAGGTGCTTCGACAAGCAATCCAATGGCTTCTAACCACCAAGAAACGAACTGGTCAATGAATTGATATGATACCGCAGGAAGAGAAAATAATGCCGGCATGATGGGGAATAAAGTACTTGTACCACACGCAATAGAACACACAACACATACATTCATATACCATGTGTTCAAATGTTTCAAATTTTAAATGAAAAACACTCACCTGTGTAGTTTCTGGGCAGGTGGTAAAGTCCCACGACCTTCGCACATGATTTGTTCAACTTTCACGCCTTGATCGACAAAATCCTGTGAAAAAAATTAAAATTTTATATAAAAACAGGTAAAATGATCATAATACACGCCATCTAGGTTTGTATTATGTAACTATAACCATAAAACAAACTTTAAAACTATATTTAACACCCTGTATGTTAATTTTTCGCGACAAAAATAAGTCTATATCATTTTCTAAGGTCTTAAATATCTATATACAAAATTTTACCAAAATTGGTTGATTGGTTATTGTGTGAAAGTGAAACAAACAAACAAAAACTTACTTTAAACTGGTAATACCTCCCGTGTCCAGCATTGGTCAAATTGATAACCAGCTTCAGTTGCGGCAGTTGTTCCAAAACGTCTTTCGGCGTAAACCTGACAATAGAACCAAAACTAATAAATAATCATCAATGCGCTGCGGATAAAAAAAAAAGCATAAGTATTGCGTGTGAGTTACAATGGAAGCCATCCGGATGAAATTGATAAATTATCCCTTTGATAAATTTTAACTGCTGCGCTAACAAGCAATTAGTCTTCACAGCTCACAACACATCGCATAGGTCCAAGGGATTAACATTAACAAGCAATATAAAATAAAAAATAAAAAACTTACCATTGGTCATTGGGTAAATTATTACATATTGCCTGAAAACAGACAAAAGAACACAATCATTAAATTATGAATAAAATTCGAATAAAAAAATCCAAAGTGGAATTTTCATTAATCATGGATCAAAAAAATAAAAATTGATTTTTTCGATTTTTAAATAAAACGATCATAAATTAAATATAATTTGTGCAAATTATCCTATTGTGTTAAGGACCACAGGAGTTTTGACGCTCCCGCTGCGTCCACACCGACACCTACCTCTCAGAAAAATAAAAAAAAAATAAAGAAGAAAACGTTTTGATATGTTTTATATGCAAATATCGCCTATCGAAGGGTCACAACGATGAAAAATTACGCTAACATATTTTTGGTGTGTCCCTTACACTCGCCGACGACGTTTTCGAAAAGATAGGGTTCGATTTGTAGCGGGAATTATTTATCAGGACCACCTTTTTCGGATAGCCCTAAATTCAAGATATAGACGATATGTTAAATAATGGAAATTTAATGTGCGTAATGTCCCTTCGAACAAACACACATTATTTATAATTGAGGGGTTGTGTGATGGTATTATGTGCGTGTTAAATTGTTAGAAAGTTGAAAGTTACAAATTTATCGGTTTACATTGTGTGGACAAGGACAATGGCAGTGGGCGCAAACAAGGGGACATTTTATGTAAATCATCCCTGATTATTTATGTTTACTTCTTTAAAAATCATCAAAATGCAACCAATTTTTATAAAATTTTCAAAAAATCCAATTCTAGGGATTTTCTGAGTGATTTACAACATCTGATTAATTTTCACGTATTTGTACAATAAATAAACATTGATTGACGCGCGTCGAAAGCATCAATTTGTATTCTGTTGAAATCGATATAAATAATGTATGTTGAGGCGTCGCTTAATTAAAGCAGAGCTGAATTACGGATATTTTTTCTCTCTGCGCGCTTTTCAAAATCTATTCGGAGGGTTTATGGTGCATAAATCTACTCCTCCCATATTCGCTATAAACAAATTAAACACAATATTAAGTAACAAACATGCACGCGCGCGCACATCGGCTCGACGCATAAAACTTTATTGGTTTTCGCCGTAAATGGACGCCACGACACCGTTTAGATTTAGCTGTTGACTTGTTTATTACACAGAAAACGACGTCGGGCGCGTAGATTCATTTTTCTACGCACGAAATGCTTGAGTAAAATACAAGAAATGCAAAATCCACCTGTTGCACACATTTATACAAAAAAAAAACACTAAAAAAGTCAATTAACTAATAAGTTATATTAACACAAATAAATCACAAATAATTTCGAAGGTATTTTCGTGTTTGAAAATACAAGCGTGTTCTTTTTTTGTGTTCACAAGGGTAGATTTACGATTTACGATCAGATGAAGGTGAAACAGGCAGCTGAATTCCACACACTAAAAAAAAAACTCCCTTCGAAATAGGGATGACCCTTACGAAGCGCAATGATGCAATTGTGCAGCGCAGCGTCGTGCCCCGCTGCGCCGCGTCACGTCGTTTTTTCTTACTTACTTTTCGCATACTTGTCGAGAAAGCGCTCAAAGAATAAGTCACCCCGCTGAGACATGCGCGCACTGCGCGCGCCGATGTGCGTGCGCTTTATGTCTTCATACTTTGCGCGTCGTTAAATAACTGCGCGACTACTTAAAACTAAATAAATCGCACCGATGCTGCGGGGCATCAGCAGGGGCACAGGGCCTGGCACGTTTGATCTGCGCACACAACGTGCTTTAATTAATTTTGCAGCATGCCAGGTAGATAAACATCTGTGACGCCTAGTTTACAGTGTCTGTGTGCGTTTTTTTTTTCTTCTGTTGTTGCTAAATCAGTGTCTAATATATTAAAATAATCTGCAATCTGTGTTGTGTGGTTAAATATGATGATGAAGCAAATTTTCATCTGTCAAAAATATTCCTAGGCGATTTATCATGTCATTCTTTGAGGTTAAATTTGTCAATGTGTCAAAATCGACAAAAATGCTTTGTAGCGCCATCTGTCGACAAAACACACAATTAATTGATCTCGTAATAAGCGTGTGAAATTGTTTTACACGTTATTTAATTCCGTCAACAAAAAAAAATGCGTCCGAGGAATGCGCGTCACGCTGTTTTTGACTATCGATGTCTATCGATCGATTATGATGTATCGCCGTCGCGCCGATTGACATTTATGACGCTTTCGTAAATTGGCTGCGAGTGCCTCGAGCGCGATGTCCTCCTGTTTCGCAGCGTTTTTTTCATTTCACTGCAGAGCGGCCACCAAAGCAAAAGAAGTTGCCGAAGACGTCCCGCGGCGCACCGAAAATGTAAATCATCGAAACTCGCGCCAGTTCACATATATTATTGTGGTGCGGTTTGGTTGTTTGACGTATGATTTTCGGCTTTTCATCGCACAATGAAATCGTAAAAGTTGTTTGCGCCGAAAAGTCAAGGATATAAATATTCATGACCGACCATTTTTGGGCTGTGAGGGTGTATACGATTGAGTCTAGCCGCAGATAGAAATTAATTAATCGTGCTTTTCAATTTTCCATATTTGGAAAAGTAAAAATTCCTCGGCGGGCCACACCGATGTAGAACTATTAATTAATTTTCGGATTGTTTCCTGAAAGCTTCGGATAAAACGTCAGAAAATTGAATTAAATGCCATTGTATTCGTTTTTTTGTGTTAGTTTTGAGTAGTTTTTTGACTTTGGCGATAAATTTGTCACTTTTTCTACCTGAATACAGAAAAGTTATCAAAGTATTATGCGGGTATTGCGTGTGGTCATTCGAAACGAACGGATTTGCCTCGTTTTACACCCGTTCGAAAGCCTTCCGAAAAGTTTGTAAGCGTTTTCTCCACACTACATTGTAATACAAAATTGCTGTGACATTAAGGCAGCCACTACTAATACTAGGAAGAACAGCCAGTCAAGGGGCACAGAGGCTGAGTGGTTAATTAATATTACTTATAAATTAACAAATTTATGAAGATGTTTTCATCAACCGCATGTTAACACCGCAAGTTTTTATTTTATGATGATGAAGATGTAAAAAGTGCTTAAAATGGTAATCAACCTGAAATTTTATTTTATTTTTGGAAAAAATTTAAAAATTTTACTTTAAAATTAAAAAAAAATTTTTTTTGTTTGATTTGTAAATATCGCATGGCGCCTCAATATATTTACATTCAATAAAAACAAATGTTACTTATTTCGCATAATATTTACAAAAGGTCAACAGTAAAATCGCTGGGAATTTTTTGCGCTGCGATGATGCAGTTGTACATAAATAATTGCAGTTTTAATTAAAGCAACATCGCCGAAACTTCTGTTTTGAGATTTAATCAACTGATTAACGAAACTGATTCGCAAAACGTTCCACCCAGGTGGTCCCCAATTGGTATCGCAAGCGAATCAATATTGAGAAAATTACTTAATCGAACTGGAAGGCGAACTAATTTCGAGTGTTGAATTAATTCCATATGTGCGCGGTTGAAAAGGTTTCAAACTCCTTCGGGCACAAAAAGTTACCCGCGTGATTAATGATATCGTAATTGAAGCATATTACACACTCATCAAATTGTTGCCTATTTAAAAATTGTATCGCGATACACTGATGAAATAAAATCCAAACGAGTAATGATGTAAACCAAGCCAGAAATAATTCATCTCGGTGGCTGCTGCAAGGCGAAATAAAACCGAAACGTATCCGATTCCGATTTGCTGCGATCGATAAAAGTGCGAAGCGCGCCGGGATCCACCGCTATGCAAACAGATATTGGGTGGCAGCCACTCGAGATCTTCGCCGGCGATTTCGGAAGCTGCGCGTTAAACAAGCGAAAGGCGGCGATGGAACATGCATTTCGCGTTAAGTGCCATGCCCACAGATCGGTTCAATATATCCGGTGTCGTGAAGGTAGTACAATCGAAGAATCAATCGCGCATTTGGTACTAAAGCACTCGCAGAGGCATTTCAAGCAGTTTTTTATTTTAAAAATTTTTTAGAAAAGTAAACAGTAACTTTATACATTGTTACAACTGTTAAATGCGGGTAGGAGTCATGATTTCACATTTTTTCTAAATTTATCTTTAAAATAACGTTTTTTAATCACAGAAAAACTCAGATTTAATGAGTAAATTTTGATTTTTTTGTAAAAATCAAAGAAAAGTGAGAAAAAATTAAAAAATTGCAAGAAAAATAATAAAAAAAATTAATAAAAAAATATTTTAATGCAAAACGCTTGAAATAATTTTAATAATAATTAAAATATAGATAAACAATTGAGAAGAAGCGAACGAGAATGAAACGCATTCACACGACGCGATGGTCGTTGGTCAGCCTACGCATAATAATAAAGAAATTAATGCGATCCCATCCGCGGCCATATTAGCAAGATGATGCTTACGAATTCACACACATGCGTCGGCCGTTAAGCGCGACGTGCGCGCGCACATGCGTATTGAATATTCGTGATTAATTAGACGCCGTATTAGGCGGGCGCGCGCATTAGCCGAAAGCTAAACGCAGAGTGCGGCGACGGCTAAATTAATTATATCAACGGCGCGCTTAATTAATCAATTAATTAGGCGCAGAGGTTCAGAAAAATGCAGGAAAGTGCATGCGCGCCACGTGAATTTATGATCTGTAATATTTGACGATGTAGCGTTTGGACCCGCGAGGTGCCGCACGATGGCATCGACATTCCGAGCGCCGTTTTAATTAACTGTCTCTTTTATGGGCAATGTTTTATTCGGACTCGCAGCGTCCTCCAATCAATGCACAGATCACCCACAACCTGCTTATGTTTTAATATCCCGTTTGTCTTGCAAAACAATCTTAAAAAGTTAAATAAATTTTTAAGAAACAAAAAAAATGTGAAAATCTAATTAATCTAACGCTGAATGCATAGCGAATAGTTAATAATATTTGCTAATTTGCTCAAATTCCTCAAATTCAAGTCGTTAAATTTTAATTAACGCCATCAGCGCGTCTTGCGACAATAGCACCATGGTGTTAATGACTTCAGAATATAAACAAAGTAATTTCAGTCAAGGATAGCCAAAGTTTTCGACGGACGTTTATTTTTACATGTCCCCGACGCGCTTTTCTAGTTAACCAATTAACGTGATTATTATTGATACCTCCCGATGTCCGATAAAACCGAGAAATATGTTCGTAATTAACGGTGCGCGGGATGCGCGCACGCACGACGCGCGTCGATAAATTATCTCGAAAAAAGCGCGCAGATAACGTCGCCGTCGTTCGAGTTGCGGGCGCGTACGCGATGATGAAGTGCCTCGCAAGCTGCACAGCTCACCAATACAATAACAATGCCAACGAAAAAAAAAAACGAGACTTGGAAAACCTCCCCCCGGTAAAATTTCCACGCACGACGCGCGCATTATCAGCTCAAATCGACGTATTTTATTACTCCGCAGGGCTATAATCATCCCAAAGCACTGATAATTACTGCGTGCGGCGGCCGGCGCACGTAATTGATTTCGATGCGCGCTAAATCAAGGCGAAAAGTGTTTAATTCATTTACGACCGCATCAATTACCTACAACGCGCGCAGCGCAAGAAATTTCCTTTAAAACTAGGTTACACTCAACGTCGTATGATGTGGAAACAAAAGCCCGAAATTTACGAGAAATTTCTCTGCGCGCTGCATAGTCGACTACTAATGGTCTTTATTGCTAAAAAAGCAAATATTCTGGGCGATGTTGGGCGCATTGCTCAATTCTTTACGACGACGCCGTCGCTTTAAATTGTCTGTTTGTCTACCTTTCACGTATCACTATATTAGTTCGTGCGTTATTATTTTATTTGTTCGTCGCATTTTAATTTCTCGCGGTTTAATTTATGGTTGAATGTGATGCGTGTGAGACTAACATTGTCGCCGTGTGCATTATTACAGCATGTTCAAAATTACAATGAGTTTTATTCGCTGTTTTAAAAAATATTTCGTAATTTCTCTTTCATTTCATCTCGTAAATAATAAAAATTATAAAATTTTAAGAAAATATTTAAAATATTAATTAAATATGGCCAATTTTGATTTAGTTTTAGTTTGGACACATTGTATAAAGTTGAGAGCGACGATTCCTTTTTGGAATTTTATTGTTTATTTACGTTAATGTGGTAATATGATACTGTCTTCGCTTTATTTCGAATTTTGTCTTTAGACTTTCGTGTCATATTGGTCATGCGGTAAGAGTTATCTACCAAGCAAATTTCATGAGTTTTCTTCGATATTTTTAGAATAAATTGCATTTATTCACTGAAATTCAATGAAAATGCACATAAATCGCGTTTTGTTTCAAAAATTTTAGGCATTTTTTGGCTTTAGAGTTAAATTTACTCATTTCTTGGTGCGTGTTTCACGTGAAGTGCACGAAGAAGACGAAATCGCACCTACGCACGCAGCTTTACATTCCCTTCGCGCGCTCGTTTCATATTTCGCCGAAGCCGCGAAGAGGAGACGCCGGCGACGCGACGGGCCTTCGGGTTTCGACTTTAATGTGTGCGCTTTTAATTATCGCGGGCGCGCATAGCGCACGTCGGCGCACGGCATTCGCGCCCAGACGCCGCCGGCTATTGCTAACGATAAAACGGACGTGCATAACATTTCAACCCAGCATCAAGGCTGGGGCCAACTTCAATAGCATAATAATTAAACTGACGAAACTGAGCAGAGCGCCGGGGCCGAACAATCGGAAGAAGAGATGTAAATTATGCTCACCTGCTTTAAGGGCACTTTAAATGGCACAAACGAAGTGCCCGGAAGTCTTTTGCCCAAGTTGGTGAAGTCCAACCACCTAAATTTAAACAATATCATAATTTTAATGCGGAAATATTTAAATTCTTGTTTTGTGGTAGGCAACCCAATATACATATAAGCATAAACATGAAATAGTATTGCAATGATTGCAATTCATTTGATTTACTTCAGTTTTAAGCATTTTAAGTGAAAGAAAATGATTAAGAACTACTCACCCTTTTGGAACACCCCTTTTTCCTGTCATACTTATTTGTGTATTGTATTGTAATCAATTTACAATTTAATACACAAAATATGATCAATAAATCACTTCAATTTTACGTGTGCAATAATATTCTAGACACTTACAAATAATGTCTGATCAGTTAACAAATTAATTCTTATTCATTAACAATTATAATAGCCATAATATAATTGATGCACTGATTGAACACCTAAGCACAAGCTTCACCACAAAATTTTGAGGTTACACAAGGTACACAAGGTGCCCACTTGGCAGGAATGTCATGAAGTAATTTTGCAATTAGCTTTGTCGACAGTCATTAGGATTTCCTACACTTGGTTTAGCTTCCACGTTTTTCACCATTGTCCAAACAGCTTTCTCAAGTTGCAAGTATTTCTCAGGTTTTTTATACTAAAAAAAATAAGATTATTGACAAAATCAGTATGAATTATCAATTGAATACTTACAGTGATGATAAGAGTATTGAATTTATGAGTAAATGAAACATTTTCTTGTTCAGGTAATAAGCCAGTTCTTTCTAACTCTGGTATAACTATTTTCTTAAAATACTTCTTATTGCTTGTTCGAACTGTCAAGCATTTATTATCTGGGTCTGCAGTGACTGAAAACACATCTGCTGGATAAGGGAGATTCCGGATACGCCATTCTAGTGCTGTTTTTGTAATTCGTCGTGAAATAATAGGCTAAAAGAATGTATTTCTCTATTATCTATTCTGATACTTGTGAAGTAAATTAGTACTTACTTGGTTAGAATTTTCCTTTATAAATTCATTACTACTCTTCAACCCTGCTGGTTCTGGATCGCCTATTTCTATATCCCATTCACTAGCAGCTCCTAATTCATTTTTGACTTTCCATGCTCTTCTGGTGAGACAATTAGTGTCTTCATTATACTCCTCGACCATTTCTTGGCCATTCTCAAACGCATAGTGCACTTTCTTTAAATTACCTTGTTTTATTGCGGATTTCTTTGCTTTTTCTAAGCGGCAGAACCAAGATGCGTCCATTGTGCTCACAATGACTGCAGGGTTTTTTGTAATAAGGAAATTATTGATAAAACTGTGTTTCTATCAAATGTTAGTTTGCATGGTTACTTGTTTTAAATTTTTGTTTATGTGTTTGAAGGTTGCAAATGTAGGCAACTTAAAATACAGCAATTTCTGAGTTTTTAATTTCAAATCAAAAATAATTTCTTGTAAAATTTAAAGTCTATTTTATCGTCTAACAATTACTAAGTACAAACTTTTAATTGACATATACATTAAGTGGTTTTTTATAATAAAATATTAGTAGTTCACAACAAAATACCACAAATGCCAAAGAAAGTGCGATCAACAAAATACTAAACAGTCCTTCAACCTGAGAAAAACGTATAGCTTTGCTTCTTTCATTTGATTTACGTATTCCTTTTTCTAGACGCCAGTATACAAGAAATGTGAAATCATATAGTATCTTTTGATAAATCCCAGACTCCGATGCAACTACTAATATTCTATTGATTTGTTTGAACATAGGATGACCTTTTTGAAATACTTGTATTAAATTGAATGAAATTCGTCCATCTTTCAAAGGAAACAACTTGGCAGTTTCTTGTCTAGCTGCAAATATTGGCAGAGATATTCCCTTCGCCCAATTTCTACAACGCACTGCTCTTAGAGTTGCATAACAAGATATATCTCGTTTAGTTTCTGCCCTGAATATTATTTTATCAATCTCCAAAGTATTATCTTCTTGAGTAGATCTATTGAATATATACATTTTCTTTTCATCTGACGGTACGTAATAAGTGTATCTAATAAATCCAGGCATTGATATGTGTAGATCACTATCAATGACTTCCTGGACTGTTGAGATTTGATGTTCATAGATTGGAGTTATAAGGTTTCCAAAAAATTCACCAGTAAAAGCGGATCCAATTATAAAAACAAAGATATAAGTTGAAAAGTGTAAGCACCTCATTTGAATTGAAGGTGTTACACGTTGTTCAACTTCATTGCAGAGAAATCGTAATATTATCGTAGAACCATGCCATAATGATGAGTAATACTCATATTTTACAGGCAGCCATCTTGGAATAAGTATCCACGCTGTTGTTAGAAGTATAGATGATACTAAGCTTAAAATAAAAGCTTCTTTGGTAAAAACCATGATCAACTCGTAAAATGAAGTATGTTCTCGAGCAATTGGAACTAGCCATAACGCGATTTCATCACAATATGTGTCAGTTGTATCAAAATCGTGGTATAATTCAAGCTGAGTGTAAACTCCACCACCCATCATAGCATCACTTTCTTTTCTTTGCACTTTGCCTAATGCCGCGGAATATTCTCCGTTTTGTTGCTTCACTCCCCAGGTAATTGATTGTGAGAAGTTTGTAGACATTTGCAAACGTTTCTTTATAATTGTCTCCATTAAGGCGAAATCGGCACCACTTGGAGGATATTGGAAATAATATGGTACCAGTATCATATAAACAGGTTTAAATGTAGTGTTCCTCCAAAGATTCGGTATTTTATTTGGAAAATACTCTTGAGGTTTAATTTTCTCATAGTTTAAGTAAGGTTTATTTAAATTTTCATATTTGTATGGAAAATATGTGAATAATTCATTGTTTGAAACAACAATCACGTTGTAAATGTAGTGTTTGCTCAAAATTTTAAATATATCATTCAATAATTCATCATCAGATTCTTCCAAGTTGATAATAAATTTTGCTCGAGGGTTCCATGATCGCATTTTAGTTAAATTCATAAAAATAATCGCAGTATTTTCTGATTGCTTTAGATTTATGACATACGCATCCATTTTCGTAATCATTAAGTTAATATCCACACAATTTTGATTATCACTTTCACCATCATTAGGAGAATACACAAATTTTGTATATGTGGAGATTTCATCTACAATATTATCTTGATCATTGCTCAAATAAAGCAAATTGTCCGAAGGTAACACTGTTGATTTCAATACTTTGTCTATATTTGCTAGATTTATTGTCAATGTTAATAAGCTCACACTGATGTTCAACATGATGATGACTGAATGATTTAACAAAAGAATGAAAACAATGTTAGTGCTGAACATTTGTACTAACGACCATTTCTTGTATTACAATCCAACAAATTACCTGTGAAAGCAAAAAGTTGTTTAATGGTCAATTGTATAATAATTGATATTGATATGCAGTTATGCTATTATCTCAATTGTGGTCAATCAAATGATTAAGTTTTTTAGTAGCAGAGTGGTAAATGATAGTCTGCAGCGTGCACAATGTATGTTTCTTTAGGGGACTAGGTGCTAAGCTGTAGGTAACATGATAGAATTATTGGGAACTGTTTAGGATTGATTCTTTTGTCATTTCCGAAAATATCGAGCATTTCCTTTAAATTGCCTTTATTTTATTTTACATTTATTTCCTTTTTGTATAATATAAACGTGTGAGAGTTTTGAGAGAGATTTATTTAAAAATTAAAAATTTAGCGAAAAATAATTTTATTTAAGCAAATATTCAATAATTTTGTTAATAATGTTTACTGGTTCGTATGTTGTTGGGTTTTTCATTGTTCCATTTTCCATAACACGTGCAACAGTTGCTGCATATGTATGTGACTGTTTAAAATTAAATTAACTAGGTTTTATTTTACTTTTGTGTAAACAAATAGAACACGCGATATTGATAACAATCAGCTTCCATAATATAACGTAAATATAATTACAAAATATTATAGTTTAGGGGTGTCCGGCGAGGGGATGTAACCATACTAGGTGTCTAGAAATAAACAGTGAAAGTTATAATACTGTTACAAATAAAATATGGAAAAATTGAGTTTTAAGATTTAGAAAATTCGAGGCAAAATTATGCATGTTAAAATATATGCTACCAGTATTATTAAATTCAGTATTAGTTCAAAATGTTACTCAAGAAATGCATGTGGTTTTCTATAGTGATGTACTAATAATTCGCAACAGAATACAACAAATGCAATAAAAAGTGCAATCAGCCAAAGATGAAACACTCCTTCAATCTGAAAATAACGTATGGCTTTGCTTCTCTCATATGTTTTGACAGTTTCACTCTTAAGAATTTTCATATACATAAAAAATGTGAAATCATATAAAAATTTTTGATAAACTCCAGACTCCGTTACTTTTACCAATATATGATTGATTTCTTTAAACATTGGATGACCTTTTTGGAATACTTGTATTAAACTGAACGAAATTCGACCATCTTTCAAAGGGAAAAGATTAGCAGCTTCTCGGGAAGCAGCTAAATTAGGTAAAGATATTCCTTTAACCCAATTTCTACATTGCAAAACCCGATAGGTGACATAACATGAAATATCTCGTTTGGTTTGAGCTCTCAATATTATTTTATCAATTTCCAAAGTCTGATCTTCTTGAGTAGATCTATTGAATATATACATTTTTTTAGTATCTGACGGTACGTAGTAAGAGTATCTAATAAATCCAGGCATTGATATAAGTAGATCACTATCAATGACTTCCTGAATTGTTGAGATTTGATGCTCGTAGATTGGTGTCATAAGGTTTCCAAAAAATTTACCGGTAAATGCGGATCCAATTATAAAAACAAAGATATAAGTCGAAAAGTGTAAGCACCTCATTTGAATTGAAGGTGTTACACGTTGCTCAACTTCATTACAGAGGAAACGTAATATTATCGTAGAACCATGCCATAGTGATGAGTAATACTCATATTTTTTAGGCAGACATCTTGGAATAAATATCCAGGCTGTGGTTAGTAGTATAGATGATACTAAACTTAAAATAAAAGCTTCTCTTGTAAAAACCATGATCAAATCGTAAAAAGAAGTGTGTTCTCTAGCAATTGGAACAAGCCATAATGCAGTATCATCACAATATGTGACAGTTGTGTCGAAATCGAAATATACTTCTGGCTGAGTATAAACTGCACCACCCATCAAAGCATCGTTTTCTTTCTTTTGCACCTTGCCTAGTCCACCAGTATATTCTCCACTTGCTTGCTTTGCTCCCCAACTGGTTGATTGCGTAAATTTCGTTGATATTTGCAAACGTTTCTTAATAATTGTTTCCAACAGTGTAAAGTCGCCATCACTTGGTGGAGATTTGTAATAGTATGGTATTAGTATCATATATGTAGGTGTAAATGTGGTGTTCCTCCAAAGTTTCGGTATTTTGTTTGGAAAATACTCTGAAGTTAAAATTTTCTCATAATCCAAGCAAGGTTTATTTAAATTTTCATATTTATATGGAAAATATGTGAATAATTCATCATTGGAAGCAACAATGACGTTGTAAATATAATGATTGCATAATATTTTAAATAATTCATTCAATAATTCATTATTGGATTGTTCCATGATGATAATAAACTTGGCTCGCGGATTCCATGAGCGCATTTTTGTTAAATTTACAAAAAGAATGCCTAAATCTTCTGATTGCTTCAGATTTAAGATATAAACATCTATTTTATTATCCATTAAGTTTATATTCAAAATTATGTTGTTGTTATTTTGGTATCCATTTGTAGAATAAATAAATTTTAAATGTGAGGAGGTAACAACAATATTATTATCTTGATAATTGCTCAAATAAAGCAAATTTTCAGAAGGTAACACTGTTGTTTTCAACACTCTGTCTAGATTTGTCAGGTTTAATATTAATGGAAACAAACTAATGCTGATATTCAGCATGGTGATGATAGGATATATGAAAAATATGAGAATAATGGTTAATATTTATCATATTAGCTTTTATTTTTTTTGTTAAAACGGGGTTAATAATATGTACTGGGAAGCATTAACGATGCCTAATATTTATGCATTACAAAAAAATTTTCTCACGCAACTGCATTACATACTTTTTCACTTATTCTCTTTGAGGGTGACATGAAACTGCATATAATAATTTAAGTAACAAAAACTTTTAACATTGTTTTTCATAAATTAATGGGCTGTCACAAATTATCACTTAGCCAAAAAAAAGTTGGAAAGTAAGGTTAATTCAAAAACTAAAGCAATCATTCTAAATATATCTAATAATCCATTTGGGAAGGTTTTCAACATGCAGGATATGGAAATGAAGTAACAAAGTACGCGGAAACGAAAT